GTTCATAGATTGCTTTGTGCTTTTGGACTAATATGAACGTTGGTACGTATTTTTCCTTAATAACAAAAAAACAAAACAAAAACAAAAAAAAAAAAAAAAAGGAACCGTATAAAATGGAGCTTAGGTTTTTACCTCAAACCATATCTATTTTTGTATTTATTAAACAAATTAAAATCTGTTAGAGAAACTTAAGGATGATGGGTTAGGGCAGCAGTTTTAGCTTTTGCCCCACATCAGAAAAATCAAAGATCCGGCGCTGAATCTTAGTAACACATTATGTGATAAATATCAGTTTATTCAATGCAATTAGTTATTAGTTTATTCAACACAACTAGTTAATTGGTAAGTTAAAAATCAAAGAATAAATATTTTAAAGTGTGCCATAAATCATGGATTGCTGGCAATGTATTAATATGGGGGGAAAAAAAAAACTCAAATTCACACACTTTTCATGAGGGGAAAAATATGACAATTAAGATCCGATATAAAAAAGTGTCTATATTATGTTTTTTAATCTTGCGAGAATTATAAAAGCTTAGTTTATACCCAGGAACATTGCACTGAACTCTAAATATGGGCTTATAACAGCATTTCTGAAACAATGCACATAGACAATGACCTGAGAAATAGGCAAATGGTTTCATCTTACATTATGACAATGCAATGTATCATGATCACTTCTTAAGTGGCACAGCTCAGAAGGAGCAAACGAAAATATCTGTCCCTCCCTGAAGCATTAAGAGGATGCTAAATTGAGGCCATGAAATTTTAGAATTAAATGTTTTCCATTGTTGGCACACAGGAGATGGTAAAAACACCTTCATTTGTCCCCAGGCACTTAAAAACCCAGCTATAGCTCTCACGTCCAGTATGGAAATTTCTATCAAATACATAAGAATATCCTTTTATTTACTTTTATTCAGTGAATCTAGCATTCCATGACATCTAGTTTCCTTCAAGCTAAATGATCATGAAAGATAAATGTTTTGCATTAAATGAAGGGGGTTGAGGATGCTGCAACTAAAGACACTTGGGTAAAAGTACATTTACGAGTACCCCTTGGAAAAAATTGGCAATTTTTGGCAGTACATGGATAATGAGTTAGTGCAATTCTCTGACTTGTTATTTTGGCTTTGTGTAAAGGCGATTTTAGCGCCAAAATCGCCCCTACACAAAGAAAAATAACAAGTCAAAGAATTACACAAACTTGATATCCATGTACACATTGATCTATTTTCACTTAAAAAAAGGTCACAGAATTGCACAAACTAGACATTGGCGCCCTCCCTTGACTTTATCCATTTACACGTCAAATTATTTTGACTTAAAAAAAATTAGAGAATTGCAGAAACTTAGTACAGTCAAAAGTCGTTAATCCGGACTCGTCGGGACTTCGGCGATTCCGGATAATCGATTTTTCCGGATTATAGACCATCAGTTAAATCTCGTAAGATGGCATGCCAGAATTCTAAAATTAAAAATATGAAACGTAATTTATGAAATAAAGAACAATATCATCTAAAGGGTACCAAATTTAGAAAAAAAAAAAAAAAAAAAAAACAAGCTTATATTTATTTGTTTACTATTAACATTTCTTCAATGTAAGGTTTTAGTTCTTCGTTTAGCAATTAATACTTTCTTTATTCTATAACAGAATAATTATTGTCAGTTACAAAGTTCGTGTTTCAAGTCCCGTAATGCTGCTGCGAGAATACAACAAGTTGTCATTGAATTTTCGTTTCATAACATCTCGTCCCTTATTATGTCTTTATCCATTTTTTGCAGCATTCCACTTTGTTGATGGACTCGAAACATATTTAGTTGAGATCTTTGGGAGATCCAGCATGGAAATTTCTATTTGACTAATCGAAAGTTCAAGTTTACTTTATAAATGCTCTACAGTCTGCAAAAATAATAGCTGATCAATCGAAGATTAAGGAACAGCATCATCAACATAACTGAAATCGTAATTTAGCTTATACGTACGTTATACATTAAAGCGCAGGCGAAACGTTATGCGCTTTTCACACGCATATGAGCAGGTACAGGTCTTGCGCACGCGTAAAATGCCTGTGTGCATGTGTCAACGCGGCACATGCACAGAAAGTTTTTAGCTTTGAGGTCCGGATTATAGATGTCCGAATTAACGACTTTTGACTGTATTGCGCACTCCCTTTGTCCATGTACAACTCGATATATGTTCACTTAAAAAAGTCAAAGAAGCAACTAACTCTACAGTAAAGGCAAGCAAAAAATACATTATCTCAATAAACTATATTTTGAACTAAACAATAAAATAACATAAAAAAGGAAAAACCTCTTATGCATCTAAGGACTACACAAAGCAAATATACAATTACCTTATTTCGAAATTTCTTCGTTTTCAGTCTGTGGCACACAAAATTCCTTAACAGCATCCGAAAAATTCCTAAAATTATCTGAACTCGAATCTGTATATCGGCATCACCACATAAATTTACAAAAATTAGAGTCAAAACTATTATTCGCAATTTTGGACTGTCCAGAAAATGGCTTCTAAGTAAACCTTCACTTACACAACAGTCAATTAATGCTCTTTTTCCCTTTCATTCCAAATCGTACAGAAACTTCAAATTAATCTTACTACATTCAGCCATTCTACTGTCTAAAAAACAAAACAAGCAAGTAGTCTACCAACCCTCACCAAAAGCCTTACAAAATCCTTAATAAAATTACTGCAATCATGCACGATTATGTCATAATAGGGTTTCCATAACATTCAACTAATCAGGTTACCATAAATGAAACAACAACTTCGCGAGAATACAAGGAGTACCCTTTAGTCTTCTCTAATTGACACTCGTGAAAGAAGTATATTTCAGGAAGGATCAGTGATGTCTTTCCCCTCCCCAATAACATGTCTTTTCTTTTTTTCTAATTTAGATATTTACCATATTTTTATTACATTTTATAATGGTTGCAACATAAAAACATTTATTAATTACCTTTACACACTCAAGAGGTTTCTTTTGTGTGGCAGAAATTAATACTAGAACAGTTTTAAACAAGGTCATAAGTTGTATATCACACAAAACAGACACATTCCTCTTTCTGTTATTGATAAGTTTTAAAAAGTTGTTCTTCTTAAACTTTCTTCCATTAAAAATGATCATGATAATTTAATAATTATACTCTCCTTTTATCAATTAAAACATTGTGTGAATGCCCCATGACTTCAACCTAGAAGTTATTTCCCTTCTTATTAATAAAATTACCTCTTCAGTTTCTGAAGATCTTACTTCAGATTGCAATACTTAAGATATTATTTTTTGTCACTGTGATTTAATATTACATTAATCGAATGTTAAAAGAGTGCAAGAACATAAGTCTTATGTCAGAAAGAGGAATAAATTTCCTATAAATAATCACTGTAGGTTCCTTGACCATTCTTTCAGTTTTAGTATTATGAAACTTATCTCTAAGATTTATTGAAAGATGAATTCAACTTTACTGTAGACTTCCACATTCCACCAAACTTGTCAATTTTAGCTGATAATTTTAATTCCAATCCTGTTTTTGTTAAGAGAAGATTTTAAAAGTCATGTCTTGTAATTTTTGTTCCCTTTGAATCCTATTTAACTTAAGATTATATCATTATTGCTTCCTTTTTTCTTATTTATTTTATTTCCATAAGTTTTATGATTATTTCTAATCAGAATATTTTTACTCCATGACAAAATAATCTCGTGCCAGCCTTCCTCAAAATGCATGATGTTTTTTCCCAGTATCCAAAGATGAATTTTGTCTCGTTTTTAGTATGTCGGTTAACATACTGAAAACTAGGCAATTGTTTCTCTGAATATCATACTAAATCATTAGTTATTGGTACATAATAATCACTTCAGTAAATTTTATACAACTTAAATCCCAGATGCAACATGATTATACATAAAATACCCCATCCATAATTCATTATGTGCACCTTTGCATCATAAGTGCACCTTTGCATCTTAACTTTAATTACAATTAAGCTCTGAAAAGAGAATAACATACACTAAATCAAAGACATCTATATGATGATCAAAGCCAGTGCCGGGCAGCAAAACTTAGGAGCAGCAGAGATTGCTCAAACAGCAAGCAGTCTAGTGTTAGTTCTGAAGACTGAAAGTAATGCTGTAAAAGTGAGTGCCTTGGTACCTATTCTGCTTTTCTAAGGCACAACTTTTAACCCTTTCTTTCTTCACTAGATGGTGCCACAAGTCAACCATTCATAAACACAATATTATACACTATATTTTTAATAAAATTTAATAGATAGAAAATGTTCATTACGTTCTTCCTGCTGTTTATTAATACTGTTCAGTATTCTACTATTTTTGCAATGTTGGGATGTATACATCTAACCAAACACCTTTCACTAAACAATAATGTTGCTTAGCTGTATCTTAACATGGAAAGATCTCACTGAATGAAGAGGTGATTTACATATCCTTCTACATTCCGATAATAAAATGCATTTTATGATAAAAGTATTAGGATGAATGGCTACAGTTCCTTTATTTAACATTTTTCTACTGACAAAGCATTATGGAAAGGGCTCCATAATTTTCATTAGATGAATAAACTCGGCCCAAAATGAAACTGCTTAAAAATACTGATCTAATTGCGCAGCAATCAGGACAATAGATTTAATATTACTCAAAAATGCCTTTGTGTAATAAACACGCGCACTAAATAAATAAAAAGACTTCATATTAAAATTTACATTAATTTTACTAAATCTGTATAATAAAATAAATAACGCAGTCCTTTCTGCATAATAAAATAGTTAACGCATCTGCTCTATACGTAAACCTCTAACCTAATAAAATAGATATTGCTTTTCAAGACAGAGCACAGCAAATGCTAAATCAAGAAAACAATATATTTAACAGCGATAGTATTTTTTGGGATTAATTTTTTTAAGATTATATATAAATATAAGAATTTTATGAGCAGGAATAAATCAAATGCATTCCTACCTGAAAAATGGGAAATTCAAAGAAAATTTATTTAAATGAAAATAGGAAGCTAATTTTAGTTCGATAACTTTTTTAGTTATCATCATATCTACAGCAGTTTATTTTATCAATCAGTGTTATTTATCACAGAACGTCTCCACTGAACTCAGATAGAACTTGAGCTAATTTTTTATCACAGTATTTGAACACAAGTTCTTCAGCTTATGCATTTTAATTCAGCAGAAATCGCCATGTTTATTGATACCGACACTAAACGATGGTTACAGTTTAGTCGGTGTTATTGGGACATCGCTGGAAAAAGCGCGTTTGCGCAACTTATATTAGTATATAAGTTAAACAAACATAACAATATTATTTGCTATATGGGAAATGCAAAATCAAGCTGAAACAGCATAAACATAGATGAAGTAGATTATATATCAAAAGACTGCATTCTTGCGATGAGGATTTGAAAATTATTTGCAAAGTATATAAATGCGCTAACAATAGAATAATAAAATGCGTTGAGAGTAACAATATGGGTTGAAGTAAGGTACAACAAAGTTCTATTCCCGCTTAGTCGGGAGCAAAGTCTATTTCTTTCAAGTTATATGAAAGATGAATACATAATAAATGAAAATGCAAAATTATGTATAAAATTCAAAACAAAGTCCTAATGCCTTGCCAGTTGAATCACAGACTTTAGTCTAATATATCTTGCTTTGAGGAGATTTATTAACTATGAGCAGGGAGAAAAACGAGGATACTGCACTTTTGGCCTGCATTGGCGTGCAAGCATTGTGAAAAGTGCTATCATTATAAACAATCCGATAGTTCTAACAATAAAATATGTAAATTATTTTAGATATTGTGTAGCATCTGATTTCGAGACTATCAGTACTCTTATACCCGAGAACCTCTGTGAGTGAGAGTAGAGTAGAATGTAATGTACCTGCGTAACCAGAGCATCGCTGCTGTCTTATGAGTTGTAGAATAAATGTTTGTGCTTAATAGTCTGTTTTGGTTGCGTCATTCACTTCACTGAACCCACACCGCTAGACACAACAAGTTGAGGACTAAACTGTGGTCGCCGCTTTTTCGGATGGCCAAGAGTCTCCTTTTCCCCATCGATGACGACTAGCTGATAGCTTTGCACTTTGTAATCGATTCGAAAGTCCGATACTTTGTTTAGTTTAGGGGGAATTGTGGAAAATTTTGCGGAACGGAAAGGGCTTCACCTTCATATTTATTTATTTATTTTTTTTGCGGTATACGGACTGGCGCAATGTGAATAAATCTGTATGATACACAGAAACTTGCTCATATTGCTGATACAATGATCAAGAGTATTGATATGCTTAGTTAATTTCTGTTGTTAAAATAAAAAACTGCAATTGTGTATGTAATGAGTGTAAAAAATAATGAAAATTTATATGTCTGTATTGTTGACTAAGTAGTAATAATGCATGATTGTAAAATATATATTAGACTCTACTGATTGTATATGTACAATTTAAAGTAATAATTACATAAGATAGAATACAGCAAAAGAATCACTGAAATTTTATTTCTTTGAATGACCCGTAATTTTTGTTTTGTATTATGTTCATAGGGATATATCTTTTTAAAGTGATATATCTCTTAATATATTGTGTACTAAATTGTGTGTGCATATATATACAAATAAACGGGCATTAAAACTAATGATGATTTAGTAAAAAAATTGTGTAACGTGTTATTATAAACATTATAATACTACACCACACAAACACTTTCTTATATGTAATATAACCTTAGAGAGATACCAACTGAAT